CAGACCCAGCAACTCGGCCTGCTCCCCCTCCTGTCCAAACCCTCAGATGGCAATTAGCAACATCAATAAGTAATAGAACAAATACTTGCCTCTAAAAAAACAAGCCACAGACAGAACAGCTGATTCACTTTACTCTAAGGCTGCATTACAAACCTTAATTTTTTATATTTCATCTGTTTAAAGCCCCAGTTGTACAAACACTTAGCTTTGAGATGAGCCACTTGAAAGTCCACGGGTGATGAAGGATGGGTGAAAGGCAAGACCTGACGCTGCAGGGGCCCAGGGTGAAGAACCATATCTATTAAGTCCCACGCACACCAAGAATCCCACCATAGGGAAGATGTTTAGCTGAGTTCCTGCGGTTCAGCTCTTTAGCAAAGAGCTTTTGGAACGGAAGAATGAGTCCATTGACCTCTCAGGTCCTGGAGACAGTGAGTTTGCAGCAGAAGCACAGCCAAAAGAAAATGGCAGAGACCAGCTAAAATACTGTAATAGGCATACTTATTCACATTGCATAGTAATAAATTTAATTACCAGGAAAGACAGCTTTAAAAAGTTGGAGACGGGTGAGCAGGTCCACCAAGGGACCATGAACTATGTGCTCCTAAGTACCAATGTGACTCTAGTATTGGTTCAAGACCCATTCCCCATGGGACACATCACACCACTGAAGCCCTGAGGTACTTCAAACCCACCAAACAAGTCTGCTGAGAAATACTCCACCAGTTTAAGCTAAACGACCAAATTGGTTAGCATCATTCCTTCAGCACTTGAGGATGTCAAGGGATAAAAAGGATCACAGATTGGGTGGGAACAATACTCACAGAAACTCAGCTTTGGCCTCAGGAGTCTCATCTACCTCTGCGGTCAATAGGCAGAGACAAGCTTTTGCAGACAGTGAACTTGATTAGAGAGCTGATCTCCGTTAAAACTGCCTAGATCTTCTTGCTGCTAAGGATGGAGGGGGAGGAGGGTGGAACTGTCTCTCCGGGCAACAGAGCCAGATTGACGGTGCCGGTTTACTGCGCCAGCATAACTGGAGTGGGATTAGGTGCTCCGAGTCACCTACCTGAGAACTTCTCTCTCCCACTGACCGTGCTGGCAGCCTGTGGAGATCAACCTCCTTCATGTCAGCTTTGGGGACATCTGTCCCCACTGCCAACCTGCACATGAGCAGGTGCATAAGAAAGTGATTGCAAGCCAAGGTAATTCTGAAGAACAATCCACAAAGCCTTCAAATTGACTTAAGAAACAACCTGGCTTGAAAAGCGGTTTCCAGTATAAATGTCCTGATAGAGATGTTTACGAGAAAGCTTTTGTCTCTGGCTTATAGACATCGCAATTTGCTCTGTGAAGAAGAGTTGCACGTCCTTGTGTTTCTCTGAAGTGCCTGAAGAACACTGGACCTGGGTGTCCCTATGTGTGGCGGACTTCACTGTACATTTAATGGGGAATTATCCTACAACATGATGTTCCAGCAGAAGAGCTGTGATGCTGTCCTTGGCTACCTTGGTATTACAACTATGTGGAATGAAAGCATTTCAAGAATTTCAAGATGCACCTGTCTTTCTGTAGGTGAAACTGGGAGGAATGGTGTGTCTTTGTTCTGGATGGAGCCACTAAAATTTTTTGAAAGAAGATTCAAAACAACAAAAGTCTTCCAGTGGAAAAAAATCATGTCCTGCTCTCCCATTGCAGAACTCTCCATTGAAATCAACGGGTGTTGAAAAAGAGAGGGTAGTGCTAGAATAAAACTCCCCACTTGTCCTAGTGAAGCCCCAAATAGTGTGTCATTGCAGGTTACTATGGAGTTATTGAATAAAGGCTGAGAAGCTTGTTCTGCTGATCAATACCTGTGTGTGTGGATGCAGATGCAGATCTCAGCAGTGGCTGTGTATCTCCTGCAGACTCCTCTCCGAAACCTGCATTCAGCTGGTGTGAAGTTTTCTAAGGGATTGGACTTCCGAGAGTAGTGCAAATAAGGCACGGGTGCTCAGGACAAACGGACGCTCCCTTTCTGCTCCTACCGCTAGGTTATGATAACCTCTCTTTTCACATCTTTTCTTTATATTAGACCACTAACAAGTAACAATGACAAAAAAACCTACCGGGAGGAACAGCTTTAAATGGAAATGAGGAGATGTGTCTAAATCCTTTAGGCTGTTTGGGATGTCTCAAGTGATTTAGGCTGGCTGTATCTGCACATTAAAACTTATGAGGGCACTGAGGTTCATCACTTATCCAATTAAAACGTTAGAAGAGTTCCTGACACGGCGACTCAGACCAGGCAGAGCTGTCCCACATGGTCACTGGGGAACAGCTCAATAGCTAGCACAGGCTGTGGAGCCTTTCCCCATCAGCAGTATGGACACAGCCACCCTATTTGGAGGGCAAGAGGGCTGAAAAGCATAGAGCAGGGCCTCCCACCAGCGGGCAGCAGTGCCAGGACTTGTAACTTAATAGCACAAACCCGGCAAAGTGGCTGCCTTGTCTATGACAGGTCTCTGCTGTAACAATAAAGAGCTAAAACCCTGCCAGATATTTTCCAAGCAGGAGTCTATGCTGGGTTAAAGGCATGTTTGGGAAAGAGGGTCTCCATGTGGACACCCTCCTGACAAAGCTGTTCTGATTGTCTGAGGGTGAGCTGGAGGTGGGGTCCCTATAAATCCAGATTTTGGGGAGAGCAAGCTCCCAGTCTTATCTGACACGGTCTCCGTCTTTATTCAGCTTGGGATGGGCACAGTGGGGAGGGACTCCTAGAGGTCCCACCAAGCCCCCTCCTGGGGGGTCACAAGAGAGGAGACCCCAGCAATAAGTGGGGAGGGCACAGATCCCCTCCCACCCATGCCACGTGCATGGGTCACAGTGGGGAAGCCCACAGAGGTGGGCTTAGCTCAGTGCTATGGGGCAATCCCAAGATGCAAGAAAAGCCCCTGGGGCTTTACTTTATGTGGTGCAAGAAGAGGCTGCGAGGGCAGAGCACCGGGTGATTGGCACCATTTTTAGGCTTTCTGGGACAGAAACAGTGGAAGCGGTGGGGAGGGCTGATGCCCCGGGGCTGACTCTAGTGGGATGGAGTGGCATCAGGAACTGCTCTGCAAAGTGGAAGAAGACAACTAACGAAGTGCAGAAGGTTGTGGGGCCACAGTGCCTCTTCCCATCTCTGGGAAGAGGCAGAGAGGGCAAATATATGCAGCCACTTGGCTTTTATAAGGTTTGAAGCTGAAAACTACCCTCCAAACCATATTTCTTCCGGCAAAGGTGTGTGCCAGAAAGGTCCATGTCACAGATCAGATGGGAGCGGGATTAAAATGGGCTCTGCTCCAGGCAGTTTCTGCATTTTAGGGGAGCTTAGACTGAATGTAGGAAGTGGTGAAGGGAGGGGAGCCATTTCCTGGCCTTTTGCTGGGAGTCTTGCAGCCTGCCCTGAAACAGAAGGGAACAAAAATCCGAGGGCTTTATCCATCACCCCTGTGCCAAGAATAAATGCCGATAGAGTGCAAAGTGCTCTATCCCTCGGGGGATCTAAGATGACATGTTCCTTCCCTTGATTCCTAGCTAGGTCTCGCCCTCTGAGCTCCCCTCGGGGGGGAGCACACCAAGGTCAGCCCAGGGTTCAGGCTCCGTTGTGGGTGCTGGGGCTGTGCGGTGGCCTTGGGGAAGGGACAGGAGAGAGGACAGGTCAAAGTGTGCCAGCTTCTGCACTCCACAGTGCCCTTTGCATTTGGCCTCCCACAACTCCATCCTCCTCTCCAGCAAATACATTTGGATCTTCCGCTGAAAAAGAAAGAAATAACATGAATATAAAAAGCCGGTGCCTGGGGTTGCTGAGAGGCAGATACAGACACTGCTGGGAAGTATTACGCTCTCTCTCACGGTATTACCCCTGCATCAGCCAGGGGTAACTGGATCTGCGATAGACTCTGATCCTCCCAAGCCTTTAATTGGATGCGTGAAAGGTCCAAAATGCAGTTCACTCTCATGCTTCTCCAGCTATGAGATGCACCGTCTTCTTGTCACACAAGGGCGCTTATCGAGCCACCTTTCTAACCTCTGATGCCAGCCAGCCCCCAGGCCAGCAAGCCAAAGGAGACCCTTTGTAAAGGAGCATTCCCAGCCAAGTGGGGTGACGGTGGCAGCAAAATATTCAACAGCTTTCCAGACACCCACCCTTTTTCTAGCCTGCAAAGAAAATGCTGTAGTTAGACAAGGGGCAAAAAGCAGTGGCAGAACAATTAAGGAACAATCGCTCCCTTCTGTGGGATCGGGCTGCGGGACGGGACCAGGACGAGTACTCCGCAAGGCTCATGCAAACTGGAGCACGAAGATCAGCGTGCAGCACCTGTGTGTGCCAGGCAGCAGCTGGGGTAGCACTCCCGGCCTGGAAAGGCCGGTGTGGCTTTTCCAAGGCTCCTGCATCCCCCAGCCCTCCCTCTACACTGGTTTCCACCGCAAACAGCAGCAGCCCTCTTCTGCAGTGCCGGGGCTGGGACAATACGCCCCGGATAAGTGGGCCTTCTGTCCCCAGCTGCACCGGGGCCAGGCTCTCCCCAACCTGCAAGTCTTTTGCTTTCCTCTTTATTTTTTTTTTCCTCTTGCAAAATCAATTTACGGACAGCTCACTCATTTTCCCCCCTTGCAAACTTATTAGCTATTCAGCCCCGGCGAGCACTCGTAAGCATCCTTTGTCCCAGGGAGGGCTGGAGACCCCTTCATTAGCAGTGATTACTCTGAGCAGTTTGACAGCCTCCCAGCCCGCTTACAAGACTTTCCCATTCAGCCCTGCCCGGGGCTGCCCCGCTTCTCAAAAGAAACGGAAATTTTCAAACATCTCTCCTCCCCCCCCCATCTGAATAGAGAAAAAGCTGTTTCTCTTCTCCGCCCTCCCCATTCACTTCACTTTTGATACAATATTTTCCTTCTTTGTTAAACCGGAGAGAGAAGGGTCAAGGCAGACTTTTTAGCCACCCTTTTTTGAGTGTTTTGTTTAATGTAAATACAAGATCCCCCCCTCTTCCCCTATTATTATTATTATTATGATCCTTATTGAAACAGCCGAAGGCTCGGGAGGGCGACGGCTTGGGCTGAACTTTAGGAAAAAAAAAATTGCTGAAGGTGCCAGGGGAAAGGCATTCGCTTTCTATGCAGGAAGGGAAAGGGCAGAATGGAGGAAAAAAAAAAAAAAAAGAAAAAGAGGGGGGAAAAAGCGGTTTTCTTCCGTGGGTCTTATCGGTAGAGCCAAACGCGGCCGGCGCAGCCCCGCGGCCCCTGCGGAGCTCCGGCAGAGAAGAAGAGGGACTGGGAGATGCTCAGCTCCCCTGATCCTTCCCCACCGGGAACCGGGACTGCTTTTCTCAGGGTGGCTCCGTGCTCCTCTCCTCTCCCCGACTGCTGTTTCGGAAGGGGTTGATTTGCGGCTGGCGGCACGGAGTGTCGGCGGGAGGGTCCCTCCACAGCCCACTCGGGAGATCCAGCATCCTTCATACCGCTTCAACCCTTTGTCGAAATATAGAATATTCGCTGCCTATCGTCCAAATTCCAGCTTTTTTAGTTAGAAAGAAATTCCACGTTATCAGAGGCTGAGCGGGTATGTTCATATAATTCTCTACCCCTCAATATGTCTTTTCGAAAGCTTTAATTCCCCGCAATAATAAATGCTACCTACTCTGCCCGCAAAAGCCAACGGAGAAATTGCCATCCGCCTCCCGGATTCCCGGGGAAGGAAAGAAAGAACACAGTGCGTTTCAGCCGATTCTGTTTTGGGGGGGAAATCCGCTTTTACTCCCCCCCCCAAAAAAAAACCCTCCCGGGTGGGAAGAGCTGCCCGCCAGCGAACCCACCGACCCCCAAACCAAAGCACAACCCCCACCTCGTTTGAGCTTTGAGCAGCAAAGACGGGGTCCTCTCGCACGACTCTGTCGGGAACAAACCCGATGGGGTTTAAAAGGCAACAAACCTGGGGCAGGGTTGGGGTGCAAGATGGGCTCTGGCTCCTTTCCGCAGATAGGTCCCCCCCAAAGGGAGCCGGGCAGCCCCCG